TCAACCTCCCACTCTTTTCTCTATATGGAATGTTTATTTCAGTTCGCTGATAACAGTGGGAATTAACTCCCTATAAATGAGAAAGTGTCTCTTCTCCCAGCAGCTCGGCGGTGTCGTTCTGCTGAGAGCAAACACGCTATAAAACAACACTGCCTCTATTCCCATTGAACTACATAGAGTTCTCCTCTGAGCTTTTTGCATTATTTGCAAAAAACCCAATTTGTTAAATCCTAAGCACTGTGTTGTAGAAGTATAGATGAAATTCTCAAAACAGTTGAAGCAGAATTTGCTTGCAAGCTCTGTTTCTTGCTCTTTCTCTCTCTGTTTTCCACTCTGCCCTTCCACACACACACACACACACACACACACACACACACACACACGCACGCTACCACAAGTTAAAATACAGTCATTGATTTTTCCTCCCCTGGTTATACATTGAATTATCTGTGTTGTCAGTGAACTGTCATCCAAAATGGCGTTCGTCCTCCACGGTGTGATGGCTGGACCTCTCCTCCACTGTAGTATTTATGCTTGTTTAGGGCTGGCCGAAGTGTTGTAGATTACAGCTCATCATGGTCTGACTCTGGAGTCAGGCACCATAAAATTAAAACTCAAATCAATGTTGTATCATATCCTCTCCCATCAAGCTGAGCAGAGACTTGTTGCCCTAGAGCCCTGAAGTGTAGTGAAGTGTTTTCTTCTCACAATTGTAAGGCTTTAAGACATTACATACCTGAACATTGAACGTGAATCAGATGCTTGCAGCTAAATCAGCATTTGTGTGTGTGCTTGCATTCATATTGCAATTTTGTGTGTATAAAAAAAAATTAGCTGGGGTGATTTGAGAGTTTATAAGTTACCCAGCAATGCATTTCTTAGAGGGAAACTGCAGTAGGCCTGTCAGGACCATGGACAGCGACTTTATTCCGCTGTCTTTGGTGCTGAAAAGAAAGGCAGTATGATCTGCTATTTAGATTCAAAGGGTTTGTGTGTGCCCCCCATTTTTTGTGCTTTGCAATAAACACAATTCAGTTGCAGATATACTATATTTATTTTTATTGTTGTATTAACATTCAGCCATTGAACATTATTGGATTATATTTGAACTGGATGTACTACATTTTTTGTAGAAGTTGTTATATTTGCTCAAAACAATTATAGCAACTTTTTAACTAATTGTGATAGTAGATTGCAAATTACTTGCAAAAATATGTCCCCCCTTCAACATAAACTTGCCTTTTCACAGCTCAGTCTGTTGATTTCATTATCTATGACATGAGATACAGCCAGGGTCCAAAATTAACTTTTTTGTATACCTGCCAATCGCAACTAAATTATGAACATTTAATGAGTAGTTTCTTACTGGCAATGAAACTGTATTTTGAATAATTTTATAAAAAAAATACATTTGTGTTCCTATGAAAATGCTATTATTGATGTGTTTTTTATCTTTCGATATTTGTGGCAGGGTAGGGATGGTCAGTTTTTTTGTAAAACAAGTTCGAATATATTATTATCGCGCGAGGACGTTATATTATCTCGCTCAAGGAAGTCCAAAAAACGACGATAAAGATAGAGGTACTAAATAGTTTTTAATAGTAAATATTCACAGAACAAACTCTGATAAAGCCAGGCATGCAATATATATATATATATATATATATATATATATATATATATATAACTGTATGTATTAGGGCTGTGCAAAGATGAATTGCATCCAAAATAAAAGTTTCTGTTAATGAATGCCACATTTTCTTAAATATATACATACATGTGTGTATTTATACATGCAAAATAATTAATAAACAGCACACACAAATATATTATGTAAACACAAACTATTATTTATAGGGCTTAAAACAAATGTTTTGCCACACCTGCCATGTTACTGGCTAACTGGTGAGTGACAGTTTCATATGCTCGCCAATGCCGATTTTTACTAGAATTTGGCGCTTGGCAAGTGTTCATTTTAATATATATATATATATATATATATATACTATTTTGTTAGTCATTTTTTATGTACTAATTGTAGCTTGTCTTACAATGACATGAAAACTATGAGAAATCTCATCTCGACTATTAAAGTATCACAATTAAGACCAAATCACTGGATCACTGTTACTGCTTGTCAATGGGCAATATTTGATGCTAAAAGTGGCGTAAATGGTTAATGTGCTGGAATGGATGAATGATGAATTAGAGTGCACATCTGTCTGGAACAGGTGCAGCCACCAATCTCCCATTCTCCCCTTCTCTCTTTTTCTCCTCCAGTGACTGGCTCAGCTACTGATCCTTTCTCTCTTTCTCTGTATGGTTGGCTGATGTATAAAAAATACATGTTAGAGCTGTGAAACAGATGTTATTTTTGGTGTAAAGTGTGTTTGACTTGACTCTTCTCAGTTGCTGAGAGCTGTGGTGTGGAGCCCTATATCACTGCTGCTGGGAGTTCATGTCTGTCATTCAGGTTAAGATATGAAGGGGAATGTGAAATGGCAATACATCTTGTTCTTAGCTGCTCTGAAGGTTTTGGACTATAAAACTGATTACATTCATCTAGATGTCTCGGTTTAAATTGGGTGTTCACCACACTTGTTGTGTTATACTGGTACTAAAATATTATCATAGTACTAAAAACTGACAGTTCTACAATGTCATCAGTAGTTTTTTTTTGTTTTTTTTTAGTTGGCCGAGGTGAAAATGTTTTGCTATTCAGTGCAGCTCAGGCAATGTAAAGGTAATTTATTCATTAAATGATTAATTTGACAGTATAACTGGTTTAAATTACAATTTAAAAAAATGCATCAAATTTTAGAAATAGAAATATACAGAAAGCTGTCTGGTGACATTATTACACTTTTTGTTGTTTTCTTTCCTCAGAAAGAACTTGACAAAATTACTATTTATGAGATTACACTCAAATTATTCTTATTCAATTATTGAATTTATAATGACAGCCCTAGTTTATTTTCATTTGTCACCCCAGACTTCTTGATTTAGTGTTCAAACTCTAATGCAAACACACTTTACTTTCGTAAAATATTGCAAACTGCATCTATTGATCCACACATGAAATTGAATTAAATTTCTCTCCTTCATGTTTGAGTTACACATGGACCTTTCCATTTCATTCAGATATGTTTATAAAGGTCTCTCATTGACCTTTGCAATAGTTGTCTGATAATCTATAAAAACGCATTTCCATCAGGAGTGTGCTACTCCTGTCATACGTGGATTCTTGCTGCAGGAGATTTGTGTTTAAAAGAAAGTGACTTTAATCAGCTAAAGTGCCAATATCCATTTCTTCTGGAGAGCACTATCAATCTGTATCCAATACACTGGAAGAAAAACGCAGTGAACATTAGAACCATTGGGCAGCTGTTCAGAAAATGAACAGAACAGCATAAATTAGTTTGTGAAGTTATACATTTAAGGAAAAAAAGGTGACAAAGTTTTCATGTTTTATTTATAATCTGCTTTTTTTCTGGAAAGTGAGTCTGGGGAGTTTATAGAGTGAGAACTGGCTATATCAGGAAGTTGAAACTCTAAAAGGTTGAACTTCTCACTTCACACTTTCGTCCTGAGAGGATCCGTTCCTGCTGGTTTTGTGGACAGGCGAGTAAGTTTGCAATGAGTTTAGGAATGTTTCTGTTCTGGCAGAAGGATGACGTTCCGCTGGGCTCCGGTGTGACGGAATGGTGGTCACTCCATCTGTCAGTAATTAGCTCTGAGCTATCTTCCACCAGGCGGTGACATCCACACTTCTTTCCCTGAACCCAGACTGCATGAGCTGGGCAACCAGATGCATCTCCCCCTCCCTCCCTCTTTCTTTCTGTTCATCCAGCCTCATGAGTTAACGCTTTACTCTCATTACCATAGAACAGGCCTGCTGGACTATTACATGACAATGTAGCATTTCACTAGTTGGTATATAAAGAAGTTAGTTGTTGTTTAGTAGATACTTTTATCAGTGCATTGCAGCAACAATCCCACTGGAACAAACTGGCTGCAACCATGAGATTAAAGACCTTATGAAAGCTAAATTTGAGTGTTATGCTTTTTAGTTATTGTCTGGTAGTTTTTCCAAAAAATTCTAAATTAGCTTTAAATGTAATAATAAAAACTCAATATAAAATACATCAAGCAGCAATTTCATGTGTTCTGAATGTGTATTTCTCAGGTGCACGATGGGGATTGCTAATGGATTTAAACCAACAAACTTTCAGTTATTAGCCTAGATCTTTAACTACCATACCACACCACCATATTAACTTTATTGGTAAAGTAATTAGCTTTATCTTTCCTTTCCTTCATATTCCAAAATCAGTCATTAAATCAGCCTCAGATTGCAGCCTGTACTTGCGTGTGGCAGTGTGGCAATGTTTGTTGCAGTTTATCAAACTTTCTCTATTAGTCTGCATGGTGTGAGAAGATTGCTTGTGTTGCCATCAGCACGCTGATCTTTATTACCTGCCATTTGACATTTGTGTGGGGCCTGCAGGATAATATGTTACCAACAAAGCACTTTTCTGGTTTGTTAATATTTATTTGTTTGCGGCAGCCATGTTGAGGCTTGTTATTGTGCGATCTGCTACCAAAGCTGTCTAGTCGTCACCTGAGCGACTGCCAAGCGTCTCGGCTCGGCTTCCTCCATCCCACCCAGTGCAGTAAGTGTGTGTATGTGTGTGTCAAAATCTGTGGGGAAAGAAAAGGTTTCGACGGCAGCGCAGCATTTTATTTCTCTTTTACATAAATGAAATGATATGAACACACACAGATATTTATCAGTAGGATCCTAACTGATGTATTATTAGTCTACTGGGAAATCTCTTCCAGTCACTGCTGTCTGTGTGGAAATATATGTCTTCAAGGTAAAGCTTTTGAGATGTATATGTTTCTGTAAGCATATATTAGTGTATCATAGAGCTATGGAATAGATTCAAGGTCTGAAAGTAACTCTGTACAACTTTCTTATTCTCTCTGTCTCTCCATAGGTAACCTTGGCCGTGTTGACTACATCAGTGAATTTGAGTTTGATCTGTTCATCAGGCCTGACACGTGTAACCCGCGGTTCAGAGTGTGGTTTAACTTCACGGTGGAAAACGTTCGAGAGACTCAGGTGAGCCCAGACCAGCACAGAGACTCCTTACAAAAGCTGACACCTCGGAGATGTTCCTATCATTTTTCAGGCTTGGATATAGATGTATTCAGGTTTCAAAATTAAAACTTGCTGAGCAAAAAAAGGGAAAAGGCTTAGGGACTTAAATTAGCTTGTTAAATTAACATTTGTATCATGGTAAACCTAAATCTTTCCTTTGAGCCGTTAAAATGATGGTAGACATTGCAATGAGTTGCAGGGATTTTTGCAGTATTTACAAACATGCACTACTGTTTAAAAGTTTGGGGATAGTATGATTTATTTCTTTATTTCTTTGAAAGAAGTATTTTTATGCTCTCTAATGCCCCGATCACACCAAACGCGTTTACACAGAACGAGCAGTGCGCTGCACTTTTTATGTTGCTAGGCAACCACCGAAACAGGTGTTCTGATGGTCAAGTAAACATTCACTCTTAGAAGAAATGGTTCTATTTAGAACCAGAAATGGTTCCATCCCCCGCTTCATGTATGGAACTCCAAAATGGTTCTATATAGAACCATTTTTTTTTGGTAAAAGGTTCTATTGGCCAAGTATGAAACCCCAGGGTTCTATATAGAACCCAGAGGAACCCTTTTTTTAAGAGTGTATAGAACCTTTTAGGGGTTCCAAATACATAGCGCTGATAGAACCTTTTAAGGTTCTATATAGAACCTTTTTTTCTAAGAGTGTTAAATCAGCTTTATTAACTATTTACTTTCTGTTAACATTGTGGTAGTTTCGGTTTGTGAAGTCGTTAAGCCCCAGGTAACCTGTGAGAGCACAACAAGTTTCTCCTTCATTATCGCACTCTCCGGACGTTCAAAGCAACTGTAGCTTTCATCAGTACAATGGAAGGCCCGCCTCTCCATTCATTCGATTGGACAGTGAAAAAAAACACTGAAAAGACGTTGGGCGCTTTTTCCACTCGAATTTGCTTTTTTAAATTTTTTTTATTTACCTTTTTTTCAACTGCAAAAACGCAGTTTTTGCAGAGGCGCGGCAGGCTGTTTTATTTGATCAAAAACAGTACAGTTCTGTGATGACATAGCTAAATTTTTCGTATCATTACCCCAATGTTCAGTCACATGATCAAACAGAATTCATTCTATTATGCTAATTTGTGGTGTTTTTTTCAACGTTTTTGTGTGAATTTTTTTTTTTTTTTTTTTTGTGAATATTTTTTTGCGCACTTTGGTGTCTAAATATTTATATACATTTCATCATGGATGTGACAAGTTTTTTTTAATTGTTATTTATTTAATTTTCTTTCTTTCTTTCTTTCTTTCTTTCTTTCTTTCTTTCTTTCTTTCTTTCTTTCTTTCTTTCTTTCTTTCTTTCTTTCTTTCTTTCTTTCTTTCTTTCTTTCTTTCTTTCTTTCTTTCTTCCTTTCTTCCTTCCTTCCTTCCTTCCTTCCTTATTGATTGTAATATTGTAATGTGGAACACATGCAAGTTACTTTTGATGAAACTGTCCAGAAGTTTTGAATGTCATGAATGATTGAAAGATATTTAAACCAGTGAGATCTGCTTGTCATTATCACATTGATGATATGCCAAAAAACATTCAAGTGTCACCCACACGCTCCCAAAGGTAGACAATTATCAACCAAAAAATTCATCCCTTATGCTGATGTGAATCCTCAGCAGATTGGATGACTGATGTTTTAAATGACGTCTCCGGCTCCTGGAAGAATCAATATCGCTAGTGAATCTTAAATCATGCAAGCTTACATGAATTTAAATCAGTTTTTCTGCAGAAGCGTAATACTTAAGTGCCAGTTCATGCCTGTAATCAATTTACAGAGACCTTGTGGTACACACGTCACGTCAGGCACACAGATTGGTTTATACACAATGTCATTTTGGATGATGGAATCTCTCAAATGAATAAACTGCTCCATTTTTATTATTCTTATTATTTTTATTTTTCACATGCTTTGAAATATCATGTGACAAATCAACAAGTGGAAGTGTCTTTCTCAAGAAACATGCACAAGTCAAATTGACAAACTTCACCTTGTTGTCGAGATTCAAGTCTGTATAGCTCTTTTTTCCCCCCTCCTGTCCTCTTAGCTTTTCACTGCGCAGACAGACAGTATCCACTCATGAGCTCAGGACTTTGTCATTGGTGGAGAGGAGTGGTCACATGCCACAGTGATATGTGGGAACAGAGGGCGTGTCCGTCGGACAGGCCAGCTGGCTGGGCCGGGCTGCAGTTGTTTAGTTTTGTTAACGCCGGTCGAAGTCTCATCACGGCTGTCATTTTTGTTTAATAGCTAGAGGACGGTTTACACCAAGAAAGGAGGGGTGGAAGGAGGGCACGCACGCTATCTCACTGATCTTAGATACCTACACGCAAGGATTGTACATACTGAGGATGATATACAGATGGATGGATGGAGAGAGAGATGGGCTGTTATTAATCGGAAGTGCTTTACAAAGAAATATGAAGAGAGAAATATAACATGCAGAAGAGAGACAT